CATGTTTTTAGAGCTTTCTTAGTCTTACTTTAGAATTTTGCAAAGCATAATCTGACCCCTCCTCTTGGGTAAAGGATGAACGTTGTGGTAAGTTGACCGTCAATGCAAAATAGTTTAACTATGTTAAGTACTTTGAATTTGATAAATGGGATTCATTTCGTGGATCAGTTGGATACAGAGGATTCATATAGCCAGCTAATTTAGGACTGAAAGAATAGTTTTGATTGATTAATTTGATTGACCTTTGATGGCGGTTGCTATCCACAAAGGCGGGAACTATTATTCGAAGTTAATGGTTATGAGTTTGCCATCAAAGCCATAGCTCGTCTTAGTTACTAGGTTTGCAGTTAAGTATTTATTCATTAAATATTTAAATATTTAATGAATTTCCTAATACAAGTACATGATTCAAGCAAAAGCTATGGGGTTTGTCTGAACCCCTAGACAATGCTCTCGCTCCGCCCTTGGCTATCCACTATTGATCGAAGTCTGGAAATTTTTTTGTTCTTGAATTTTGAGTTTAAAATATGCAGTTCGGTGTAAGCAATGTGCAATTATACTTCATGGTGTGTTCATACACTGTGGCTGTGGGGTCTGGAAGGAACTTGAGGAGCCTGTTACAACAACGAATAGTTATTTCTTTGGGATTTGGCACCTCGAGGCATATATTGTTGGTTTTTTTCCATTATTTGAATCCGATGAAGATCTTTAGGGGGGTGTTCGATTGACAATTAGTTTGTATTGCTGCACAATTTGTGCTCATTTTCAGGATGGTGGAGTTTTTATTGCAAAGTTCTGTTTTTGCAAATTTCTGTCTGGTATTTTCTTATTTCGGAGATGGAGAGAAATGATGGGTGCTGTGTTATTACATTTGAAGCGTGCTTATTAGCTTTTTTTTCTTTTGGGAAATTCTTAGCAACTCCTTGTATTTTTCTTTGTTACCTTTTATGGATGGCTATTTGCTGTAGAATCTGATTTGATTAGTAAGAATGAGATGAGTCCAGATAGAGCGGAATGCATACAGATCATTCGTACCATTAACACCATCTAGTTTGTGGTTGAGGCAAATTTTATTGATTGATTGTTTGACCTTGTAGTGGTGAACGCTATCTGGTTTTTGGTTGAAGGCTTCAAACTTCCTTTTGATCTTTGAGTTTTTGGATTTGAAATATGTTGTTTAGGTAAGCAACATGACGTTTATACTTTCATGGTATATTTCATACCCTGTGGTGGGCATGGAAGAGGAAGAGGAGTTGGAAGAGGCTGTTATGAGGGATAATAGTTCTTCTTTGGAATTTAGCGATGCCTCACTTTTTTTTAATATGAAGAGGACATTTTCTTTCATTTTTGACATTTATGATTAGTTCTGATTGTCCAATTGTTTGTGGACAGGGTAGTAGACTTCTTGTTGATGTATTGTCTACCTTGCTGTTTGTAGAATTTGGCTGACAGATGGGCGGAGAAATCATTTGTCTATGTAGCTGTTATAGATAGTTATTTGAAGTGTTCTTTATGAAATATCCGAGAATTTTATGAACCTAGGAACACTAGTGCCTCCGTTTATCTGAGCTTGTACATTTAATAATATATTTTTAAATTCTGAGGGGGGAGATATTAATTGCGTTAATTTGAAGGGAAAGGGCAGACATACCATGGAGATAACATGATTTTGTGCAAGTATCAGATACAAAATGTGCGCTATAGTTTTGACTGATAGTGGCATAGTGCTATGGCTTCCTTCCTCTTTTCTGTGTGTTTGTGTGTCTAGAGGTGTCGGGGTGCTCTACTAAACACTTTATGTTGAAGAAGCCCCGATAAGTTGATGCCAGAATACTCGTTTCCAAGAAAATTAGTGTTATGTGTGAGACAAAGTGGGTCTGGAGGAGAGGGCAGCTTCAATATAACAGTGACGCATCTATGAAGAATTTAGCGATCAATGATTTTCTATTTCCCTCCTTCCTTTCTTGTCTGGATTGAGCTGTTTTGCAGATTGGTGTAGAGACATTGGTCCGTTAGGCTATCCTCTCCCCCTCGCCTTATCCCTCCTTTGGTAGCATAAAATGAGTATTTAATATTGTGATGTACTTGGAAGGATGAAGACACACAAATAGATTTCGTTGTTTCTGTTGCTAAACTTTGGTGGTGGTAATTAGAAGCGCTAGCAAGGGATAATGTCTTCGATCTTTGTTTAGTTAGAGTTTATTCTTTGTTAGTAGAAAAAAAAGAGTGCTTAATGAGAAAATAGGCTGCTCGGAGTCTTCACTAGCCCTCTTAACTGTACGTTTAGATTATTGAAAAGGTAACCAACGAGGGATTTTCAGTGGTTTGCTACTGTTGAGAGTTTGAAGAAGAATATAACTCTCCTAGCTCAGCATATAAGCTTGGATCTTTTATAGGAAGAAGTTGTTCCTGCCCATCAAAGGAGAGGAAAGAGAAACCAGTGCATCCTTGGATTGATGTCAACATTGATAGAGATGAAGTGGTGACAACTAACAAGTGAGATTACTCTATTAGTAACCATTACTCTAGTATCATGTTGTAAGATAGTTCATTATATTTACAACATGTCTGCATTCTGCTAAACTTCCGCGACCTCAAAATGAGGCAATTGACTTGTACTTTTGTGCCCATGTGGGTTCAAACTACACTTTGGAGTTATTATCAATAGTGTAGTTTCTAATTTCTTTAGTTTCACACATGCAGCTTAATGAATACATCCCCCACTTGAGCTGTTCTGACATATAGCAGCCAACTGGAGTTTGGCTTGCGTTAATTCTTTAAGCAAACATCTAGTCCAACGTCATATGGTTCAGAGATTGTTATCGGACCTTGGCTTTTGGAATGTCTTTTAGCTGATTGCAAAATGAAATCATTCTTGGTCAATCCACAATCAAGTGATTTTTCTAGATCCATTTTATATCTTATTCCACTTGTGCTCTCTCCTCTAATATTTTTCGTCCAGACTTTTTATTATTTGTGTTTATATGTCAATGCGTTTCTGGATGCAAGTTTGATAATTTATTCTTGTTCACTAAATTCAATTTTTCCGGAACAGGTCACAGGTAATGATGGAGAATCTGGCGGAAATCAACAGGCTAGCTTCCTTGTTCTTGCTAGACAATTCTTTGTTGGAATGGTGGTGTTAGATACTTGGCAATACTTTATGCATCGCTACATGCATCAAAATAAGTTCTTATACAAGCATATCCATTCTCAGCATCACCGGCTAGTTGTTCCATATGCATTCGGAGCTTTGTACAATCACCCTTTAGAGGGTCTGATACTCGACACTATCGGTGGGGCCCTAGCTTTCCTTTTCTCAGGCATGTCTCCGCGAGCTTCTATCTTCTTTTTCTCGTTTGCGACCATCAAGACAGTCGATGATCATTGTGGACTATGGCTACCGGGAAACCTGTTCCATATCGTCTTTAAGAACAACTCAGCGTACCACGACGTTCATCACCAACTTTACGGAAGCAAGTATAACTTTTCACAACCCTTCTTTGTGACGTGGGATAGGATACTTGGTACGTACATGCCATATGCACTTGTGAAGAGACCAGAAGGGGGTTATGAAGCTCGGCCTGATAAAGATTGCAAGGATGACTAACAGAACTGTTAGTACATGTTTTAAAAGTATGTACCACTGCAATTTTACACCCGTATTTGCCTTTCTCAGTAATTTGTATATATGTTTCTGCATATATTGTTGTATTACTGGTTTTCTTTTTGAGGTTGAAAAAAGAAAAAAGGGGCAAATAATGCCTTTCCTTTTGTCATAATCTGGTTTCCCATAATTTGGTATAGGTAGAGGTTAAGTATTGTCTGGCAATGGATTGTATGCATCCAAGTGATGTTTTTTTCTTCTTCTGAATATTCTCTACCATAGTCTGCTTCGGGCTTTGAGTCCGTCGCGGAGAGGTTTTATTGGTTAAGTGGTCACAGTTGTGTAATTATAAACCTCTATTTTGTTATCATAAGTTACTGATCTCCAGTTGAATTTTATTAACTATGTAACTTAGAAAAATGTTTTGTAAATTATGCATCTATCTGATACTAAAGATTGATTATATGTCATTGTTTTTGGTCTCTTCTTGACAGAACATTGCAAGGCTGTCTAGTGTTTATAATACTGATTTGAATATGACATGAGGATCATAGGAATTACTTAGTCAGATCAATGAGTTGTCTTTTTCTTTTTCAAGGTGACAGCTGACGATGTGAACTGTTAAGATGTTACTGCGTCCGGTCCAAAATAAGTAATTTTTTAGTTATTTTCACACAGATTAAGAAATTTACATTTTAACATTAATTAGCAATAAAATTAACCATATTAACTTTTATTATCTCTTCAAAATATCACTCCTAACACATACTCCAATACTATTTATTCCAAGAGCAATGTAGGAAAAAAATAATTAATTCATTCTTGAAATTTGAAAAAATTACTTATTTTGAACCACAAAAAAAAGGCCAAAAAATCATTTATTTTGGACCGGAGGGAGTAGACAATTATAGGCAGGTCTTCAGAAATTAGAAAAAAGAAATAAGAAACACGATTTACGTCCCTCAATTGTTTGGTAAATATTCATTTTGGTACTTACAGTTAACCTTCAAATTACATAATTTTTCTCATTTCTGTGTAACTACCATCGTTAATGCCAGGATTAAATTAATTTGGTCATTTCTTCTTATTTTAAGTTAGCACTGGGTGGAAAATTTAAGGAAACCTTGATATTGGAGGATTGAAAATGAAAAATTGTACTACTAATTAAATGGTTGAATTTGTTTAATAGAATCAAAATTATTAGAATCCAATTGTGTTTAATAAATTATTATTAAACTAAATTCGTCACTAATCAAGAGATTTTTTTAATTTTAAAAGCTACCCAATTTCTTTAGCTTCTTCTTATAAGTCCCGGAGGAATGCCAGCTTTACAAATATTCTTTGTAACAGATATGCATAACTTGAAGATACTTGGGGGCGGCGAGATGGATAATTTTGTTCCAATGAAGTAAAGCAGATTAATATCAACATATCTCATACAAAAATGTATTGAACACATTACAACATCTGTTTTTGAAGGAAGAAAATGCTCCTAAGAATACATCAGAAGATTCAGGACTCATCAACTAGTGAGAATAAATGAATGCAAGTGTGTTCATATTTATGAATCCATCAATAGAAAGTTAAACACATACATTAAGGAGAGTACCTCCTCGACCAAAAATTCCTTAGCCACCAAATACCATTGATAACTGAACTTTATGTTTCTCGGAATCCATTGCAAATACATTGATCAGACCACCATCTTCGCGAGCATCTTATCGTGTGAATGTGGTATTATTATCACCAACGGTCCAATATTTTTTGACTGCTACAAGTATTTTCTCGGGAACAAGGGGGGCGTCTTCATGATCCATCAATTTAAAGTCCCATCTCATACCTCCTATTATCTTCTTCACCTTAATTAGCACGTCTACATCGTCCCTCATAATAACAGCGCCTTCTGGCCGCAAAATACGGTCCATCTCTAAGAGAATGTCTTCAAAGTCGCACCTAAATGAATTCAAGAAAGAAAGTCAACAGACGAGTGTTAAAACACTAATTTAATTTGGACAAAAGCACAACAGCAATCTATGCTAACAGAAACAACAAGAAACAACAGGTCAGCTAATTGGGATGGATTCAGTAAATATTTAGCCACTTAAAACTTTTAGCTAATACTAATGGGACAGACCTTTTCTAGTTACTTAACCCATCTCCAAGTGACACGCTATTGGTTTAGCATTGGATAATCCAGCCAAACCCTCCAAGCATGCTATTGAGTTTAACATATCTCTTCACTCTAAAACAATTAGAGAAGCTCTTATATAATAGTTTTGCTAATCGCATAAAGTTCAGCTTAAAAATGGGATTCAAAAGAAGCAATAAAATGTACGCTCTTAGCTTAAATTTTTATGATGGTACTGACTTTTGACCAAGTTTAAGGTGTTAATTTGACTTATTGGTGATAAAGAAGATAAAATGTTAAAAGTAATAGTTGAATGATTAGGTTGATAAGGAAACATCACACTAAAGCTTAAAAGTTGAATAATTTAATGATTTTGATCTTTTGAAAGTTGTAAAGGTTGAATAGAAATGGATTGATTTCAAACATTTGGAACGTACTAAAACTAGAAGAGTGTCATACTAATATAAATTGGGACAGAGGGCGTAACTTGAAGATGTTTGGCTTAACCACACTAATACTCCGACTTATTCTTTATTTACAACCAATTCCGATCATTCAGTTCTGAAGGAGGAAACCAGCAAATATTAGTGACGTGCAATTCAAGTCAACACTGAGCCAATTAGGCAGGGCTTATAATACGAACTCCATTAAAGAGATTGGCTCCAGCCCAATTCTCAAGAGTCATAATACTAAATAAGGCTCTTGATCTCAACAAGGAACAGCTTGAAATGCTAAAGTACAAGAAAAGAAAAAATGGAATACTTACTTATCCTTGTATAAACTGAAAAGACCATGAGCATGAATGAGATCGTAAGTCCTTGGATACGTAGAGAATGCTTCACACCTGAATCACAATTTCAGCAGGATAAGAGGAAGAGAAAATTATTGTATAAAGTACGATGCACAGTTTGATCTCCTTACTAAGAGACAAAATTAGACAAAACAATTTGATCAAAACGTGACATAGGATTGATATTCCTTCCTCCATTTCCACCGAGACTTAAAAATTTTGGTGTTGAAACCCAAGGCAGCAACTTATATTGCTCTATATAGGTATGTTGCGAGCATATGCTTAATTAACTTTAAACCCTCTGATATTGAAGGCCTCACACAAAGATCCCGAGTTTAGTATCCTCTAAGGTTAATGCGTTAACTACTATATCCAAACCAGAAGTACAAGAGCAAACTAACATAGAAAGGGATAGTAATATTTGATCAGTGGTTTCCTTTAATCTGACACTTCCTTAATTCTTCACAAAGTCACTAATAATAGAGCAAAATTTTCCTTTGATGGTCCTTGCATTTACAGCCAAAAGAGTAGAGAATACAAGATTAATAATCACAATTCACAACCACAAAAATTGAGTGCCAAGAATACTGCAACTTCCTGTAAACGACAAACAGTTGCCACAGTAATCCAGATAAGTATATATTGAGCATGTGAGAGAAGAAGTCATACCAGTCATGATAAATTCCGATAAGCCCTCGTTCATATATAACTCCCAAGGTATTTTTCTCGGCTATTGTCGGCATAACATTCATCACCCACATTTTGGGAGAATGAAGAGCTGCAGCAAAACCTCCAAGTCCAGCATTCATATCCATGATATTACGGTACCTTCCTGTATCAATGAGTTTGTTAATTTTTGTATAAGCACTTACATGCTTCTTCCATTTCTTGTTGTCTTCCAGATATGCCTCAACGGAAACTCCAGAAACTAGTCCATTGGCAATTCTTGGGGGAACAGCAAAAAGTCTCTCAGGAAATGGCTTTAGACCCTCGCCATCACCATTAACTTTGCTTGGTGTTATGCATCCTTCCATTTTCTTGTACCTGATCAACAGAAGCAAAACAATGGAATAACCATGAAACTTGATTTTCAATAATGATTTACAGTGTAATGTACAAGTAATGTTGGATGAAACGAAAGGGTCTATCCTTTTACTTCGTTCTTATAGAACGGGCCAAGCTAATAGGGTTAACACTGTAGTGTACACTCGCTGTCTTGCACCAACAGGGTTTGCATGGTAAGTGAACAAGGTAAATAACCACCGTATCAGATTATCACAAACTTTAATTATAAAGACTTCTAGATATCTTTCCACATGCTTAGACCTTCTTAAAAACATTCTTCGTCTTAGGAAATAAGTGTATAAGTCAAAAAGACTTAATATTGTTTTAGCGTTGAGGACATAATCAAGTTTCTTTGAGACACCAAAAGAAAATCCCGTTGTATCAATTTGCCACTCATCGGAGGCAAGAAGCACATTCTCCTTAGCATTTTCTTGAAGTACAGACGAACTACCAACATATAAAACTGAACTATTTAGAATGATGACATACCAGACATCATCTGGATCTGCAGATTTACAAAATGTAGCTGCAGAATCTTCTTGTTCTGAACGGCATGAGTCAGCATCCATCCTTTTCTGCCAAATTGCAGTCTCTCCCTTCTCAGATTTCTTCTCCCAGCAAAGACGTTTAGCAATATCTTCAATCTTCCTTTGTTCTTCCTGAAGTTCCTCCTTGGGTCGTTGCCAGGCCTTGTAATTAGTCTTCCAATTGATAGGAGGACCGGAAAGCACCCAATAACCGCCAGGTCTAAGAACTCTATCAACTTCCATCATGAGGATTCCATCTGCAAGAAGAAAGTATAAAATATGCAACCAAAGCGCTCTACCGAAAAGGTTAACAAGTAAAAGGAGTGAAGTAAAACCAAATGTCTTGCAAAATTGTAAAACATCACACTTGTTCATATTGCAAAGTAGTTTTTTTTTTTTTTTTTTGAGAATGGCAACCTTTTATAAAAGAAAACAGCACAAATTTGCAAAGTAGTTATTCTTGCTACCAAACAACATTCATACCAGCAGCTCCCCATGGGATTAGACAACGAGAACAATGAGCCATATCAAACGCCTTAGATGGATATGGCATTTTGACTGTTCCTAGTACGCCAATAACAGCGGGCACACCCCTTTCAAGAGCGAACTGAACCTGAGCTTCATGTGAGTCTCTGGGGGCAAATGACATTGCTATGACATTCCTTTTCCAAAGATAAGCACCCCAACTTGCAACCTAGGATTCATAAAGCATTGTTAGCCAAAGAAGCCAACACAATAGCGAGAAATACTCTCCAAGTAGGTGAAGAAACTGACACACAGATATCTTTGGGTAAAAGAGAGGATTTCAAAGCAGAAAGCATACCCCACAACCAGTGTCCAGAGCAGTCCGAACAGTTCCATTTTGAATCGGGATTACTGAAGCAAGCTGATCAATATACTTATCTGCTCCTTGAGGAAACTGTGTCCCTCCTCCAGGAAATCTAAACACATTACCTTCATACTGAACCCAATTTTGAATGGCCTTCTCAACGGTCAAGCTCTTATATGGAGCATTGGCATATGGAACATAATCCCGACTTTTTGGCCACGGAAATGGGGTAACATACCCCTTAGGTGCTGGAATGAGGCAATGCAACTTCTTTTCTTGAGGTGGACAATGCCTTTCCCGATAGATCATATTTTCCCTTGGGAAGTGCATAGCACGCTTTTGATCTTGACACGGTGTATAATCGGTGTAACGAGGATGACATGGCTTAAATTTTTTGACTTCTGTTCCCGAATCATCAATGCTACCCGCTTGGCCACCATGACGAGTCTCAAAATTGAGATTCGGTAGGATATTGCAGTTCTCACCAGCAGTCTTGGTGACCGCCAGAGCTATACTATCTCCCTTCCCAAAGCCACTTCTTTGCCATGCTCCAAGCAAATAGAAGAAGCAACATAAACCAGTTACTATAAAGATCGACACAGAAGTCCTAGTCCTATTGTCCCCTGAACTTTTATTTGCCATTGTTGTCCTGAAATGATTTCAAAGCTGAGTTAGGAATGAGAAGGAAATAGAATGCCGATGCACCTATGTTTTCTAAATGTATCAGAAGTACATATATCCAGACATCACACCTTATACTGCAAATGACCTCTATTATGAAGGAAAAAAAAAGAAGACCGTCACTAGATCAGAGCATAGTTCTATAATATGTTGATCGTCGAGGATACCAAATGCTGTTAGAAATTTCAGTAGAAGTCAATTAAAGCAAATTATAGAGTAAACTCAGATAAAGCTTCTTTTTCTCCCTGATACTTCAGTAACTGCATATTAAGGTAGCAAGAGACGACCATAGATTTTAACCGCCCCGCAGAGTAATTGGACCAAGTTTGACAGTTCTATTACACAAAAGTTAAACAAACCAACCCACAAATCAAGCTCTCAAATAGGTTGTGTTAGTTCCAACATAGTAAAACAGATATATATAACCAGAGAACAATGCATCAGCTCATAGAACACAACCCCCCAAAGCTACAAAAACTGAAACTTGAAGCCAAGAACTGATACTTAGAGCAGACCCAAGAAAAAAAGAAGCTCAAAACTGCAAATTTATTATACTCTAACTACACTAGGAAAATATTGTTATAGTACCCCATAAGAACAAATTTGAACCATGTACTGTAAAGGGGTTTAGAAAGTGAAGTCTGACTTGACAAATGAATCAACCAAACTGAAAAGAAAGATAGGAACTTTAAATCAAGAATTGCAATGAATTGAATGAAAGATCAGCTATAAATTGTTCAATCAGTATACCAATGTCATGAATTTTTTTTTCACACTTCCTTAATGACCTTCCAACTCTGCTTTTCCGTCTACAACTCAATTATGGTGCCACCCTTAAAGCTTTACAAATTAGCCGAGAAAATTTAGCAGAGCCACTGCAAAAATTTCCCCTGATTTTGAATATTCAAAAATATCTACAAGTATAGATCAAATTTACAAGTTTCCTTTTTTTTTTTCCTGTTTGGGGGGAGTGGGGGTTTCTGTTTAGTAATCATAGTAGTGTTTGCTAAAGCGTAAAGGAGGTGCGAAGTGCCACACCAATCAGATGAAATGGGACCCATATGGGATAGCACTAGAACGTAATAAAACCAAGGAAGTGGGACCTACCTTCATGAAAAATCTAAGACGTACTATGTGTGTCGTTCAATGTAATAGTCGGCAGGATGGACGGCTTGAGATGAAGGATCTTGGTGAATCATGTACGTTGATAGTATCAATAGAGCCTTTAGTCTTTTGATTGGAGCAGAGTCGAGAAACTAGAAAATCCTGTTCAGGCAGACTCAAAGTTACGAGTTGTTTTATAATCGTCATTATTGTTATTAGGCGTGGGCATAAAATCCGAAAAACTGAATTCCGAACCGAATCGAATTAATTCGGTATTTCGATTTCGGTTTTTTCGGTATTTCGATCTAATTCGGTATTGCAATTTTGGTATTTCGGTACGGTCCTCGGTATTAGACATTTGAAATTTCGGTATACCGAAATACCGATTTTTTTAAAGACATTTTTCTAATTTTCTTATTGAACCAGTGAACTCCCCAGACCAAAGCCCCAGCCCACCCTGTCTAAACATCATTCATTAGGTTAGAGCATTAGGCTATTAGACAGAGCAGCAAACGAAGAGTCGAAGAGACGAAGATGCTCCATTCCTCAATTCCTCAGTCCGATTCCTCAATTTCTCAGCCCGATTAGGCGATTTCCGTCTTTCCGAGCTCCGATTAGGCGATCCTCACTCCTCAGTCCTCACAAATTCTGGGCAAACGAAGACGTTGTTGTTGCGAACTTGCGATAGTTTCAATTTTCAAAGGTATGTTTCTAATTTCTACTATTTTGTGCTTTTTAGTCAATTCAATTAGTAGAAAGATAAAGTTTCACCTTGGAATCTTCGTCGGAACATGAAATTTAAAATGCTACTTTCATGACTGTGTGCAACTAACATCATTTATGTTCTTTCAGTTTTAAACCTCGGAATACTTATCTATCAAGAACTCTTATTGCTCTGTTGACCTATGGAGGTGTTCCGGCAGAGTATTTCTTTGATATACTGAATAACACTTTGGAGGAGATACAAAGGTTATACTCAGATGAGGTGACAACACTAAAAGGTAATTCTTGGTTTAGAAAAAAATTACAATAAAACTAAGTCTCTTTGCAATTGTTTATGGTTATAATCTACCACGTATAAGGAGAAATGTGGACCTTCAGATACTATTACCCGAAAATTTTAAACTTATGCGTAGTGTTGCTTAAATTTCAGCATGCGGTAACATTTTGGTTCTCAAACTTTCAAATGATGTCTTGAAAACATTACATGCTTATTTGCACAATTAACAAGCTGGTGCCTGTACTGGTTTTAAATAAACATTGTCTGAAGCCTTCTTTCCGATTTGATACAGAAGCTTTAATCGTAGTATTCCTTTACCTGCATTGATCTTAAAATGCATGACTCTGTTCTAAGTATCTGTTGATTGCTTTACCAAATCAGACCTTTACTTTTTTGTTTTATTGGTTATATCTCCGTGCAGTTGCAGCGAACCATAGAGATCGTGATGATGCCTCTATTGCCACGGGTATGATAATGGCTGCAGTACCTCTCTGTGAACCGTATCTTAGGTGTTGCTTATCTTCCTTGACAAAGGAAGAAAGAAATGGGCTAAAAGGAGGAAAACTTCCTATCTCTGATACTTTCTATTTAATAGGGACAATTGATCCGACGGATACTTTAAATCCTCATGAAGTCTGTGTTATTCTATAAGTATACGTTAAATGATATATGACCCTTGAGTAAATGTTTAACTAACCTAATAAGTAATTGTTTTGACCTAGTAATTTCAGCACATGTATGTTTGTAACTTGTGTCATCTTTTGATGCTATGCCTTTACTTTTAAAAAGTCAAACTGGAAACTTACAAAGTAAAACTCAACAATTTTATGCAGTGAACACGGACAGATATCTGGAGAGGTACTAGTATACAGGAATCCCCGACTTCGCAAAGTAGAGTGCAAGCATTGTGGTAAAGTCAATAATGTTAATCCAAAGAGGAATGGAACAATTGGTTTAAGGAAGCATATTAAGCGTTGTCTTGCGCGTGTTCCTGAAATCCGTATTTAAGAATTAAGATTTAAGACTGTTTTTATTGAGGGATGCCCTCTCTATTTAAGTTAATTCTGCTACAGCTGCTGCATTTGTTAAGTGTTAATTTTAGTAAGACTGTTGCATCTGTTGCACCTTGATAATTTATTATTTTTATTGTTAATTTTGTTAAGCTGTTGCATCTGTTGGTTAAGACTGCTGTTGCATCTGTTGGTTAAGACTGATGTGGCATCTGTTAATTGGTAATGCAGCCAGTAGATTAGCTATTTAGGTGCTGCATCTGTTGCATCTTTGTCTTTGAGCCTTTGAATTTTGAAATTTGAATTGTGCATACTGCACTGTTGCACAGAATTGTGCACTTGTTAAAATAGCCTGGTTTGGAAAGATTTAAATAATTGTGGACTTGAGTAGTAATGGCTATGGTTTTTATTTATTTATAAATGGCTAGAAAAGGATATTGTTAATGGCTTCTTTAGCCTTTTTAGCTTTTGCTTAGCTGCAGACCTGTAGTTACATTAGAAACTAGAAAGTGACAGAACTGTTACTAGTGTAAATTTACCAGCCTCAATTGGTTCTTACACTGAAAGTGAAATGCAACAATTTGAATGGGTCTTGGTTAAACCGAAACCGTACCGAAACCATACCGAACCAAAATAAGAAATACCGAACCGTACCGAAATAATTTGGTACGGTATTTGGTATACACAATTGATAAACCGAATACCGAAATACCGAACCGAAATACCGAATGCCCACCCCTAATTGTTATAGTTAACAAAGTTATATTCCCTCAGTTCAAGTTTATTTATCCACTATTAACTTAACACAATTCTTTAAAAACAATAAATAACATAATATTCTTACTATATACCCCTAATTATTATTATTATTATTATTTAACTTTGACTATTATAAATTCAAAATGTTGGGAAATGATAAGGGTAAAGTAAAATAGGTATAAAATAGTAACTTATCCATTAGTTAACAAGTAAAAGTAGACATAAATTTTTAGTATAGCAGATAAATAAACTTGAATGGAGGGAGTAACTTTTAAGAAAATTTTTAGTGATCTTCTCTGTGTTTGAGCAAAAAGCTTAAGACTATTCTGCTAATTTCAATTATCAATAATAGAGAAGGTAAATCTTAGTCAAGCATAATTAACTTCAGATCCAAACATATATAATGGGAAATAACAAAAGGTAGGAATATATCAGGTTTATTGATGTCATAATTTTATATCAAACACGAGAATTAGGCTTACATCTGAAGCGAAGAAGAATTGCAAGTGAGCTAGTAAAAAGGAAAAAGTGAAGCGAACCCCCCCCCCCCCCCCCCAGAGATTCCCTCCTAAGAACTATATATATATATATAGTTCTTAGACCTTTTATTCAATGGTCTTTGACCAACATGCTTTCTTACGGTTGTCCCTTTCGTCATAACTTGAACACAGTATTGACTTAACGTATGCTTTCGATAATTTGACCTCGAGGACGACCGAGGTATTCTTTGCTATTTCGCCACTTAGACGGGATCCCGACTTGGTCGACCCCCTATCATTCCTATTGGGGGCGACCACTACGGTCAGATTTTGACCCATACACTCTATTCACCAACAATTTTAAGGCGAATCAATTTTTTTATGCAGTTGAAAGTTAGCAGATATCAAGGTAGAAGTTCACTCTCTTTAAGAGATAGAAAGGTAAAGTATTTTTCTACTTGCTTAGCTCAGGCGGAGGAACGGTATAAACTGTTTACCTTATATTTTTTCATGAATATGTGATATATATTTTCATAGAAAAAAAAATTTATAATGCTAAAAATAGTGGGAGTGAAAAAAATTCTACCATCAATAATTTGAGTATTCATGCATGAGTGAAAGTTGATTAAATCAAGAAGTGTGATAAGTGCATCTATCATAAGTTTTGGAATAATTCACATATTGTTGTTTGCCTCTATATTATTGATTTATTAATATTTGTCCTAACATAAATGTTATTGGAGAAACTAAAAAGCATGCAAGTAGCCATTTTGACATAAAAAATTTGGGTGCGACAAATTTCATTCTTGGAATGAAAATTTAATAAAACATGTGATGCAAGTTTCCTTGACTAGTCACATTATATTGAGAAAATTATGAAAAAAATAATTTAATTGATTGCAAGCATGTCGTAACTCCTTTTGATTCAAGTGTTAAAGATATGCAGGTTGGGCAACCAAAAGTTCAAAATGCTGTGACTAACCAAGGAGCGAAGCACAAAGAAGGCAAGAACATCAAGCAAAACGAAAAAGGCCAAAGTAGTGGTGTAGTGAAGACTAAGAACAATATCAAAAACACACAAAACAACCAACCTATCTACAAAGTGGTGAAGGCCAACAATATAAAACATGTGGAGAAGGCACTAGAAATAAAAGAACCTATCACAGGTAATACAGTAGAAGAGGCGAAAATCAAAAATAAGAAAACCAAAAACCAAAAAAGGAAGCAAAACAGGATAGCAAGCTTACTGAAGATCAAGAATGTCTTATGGACAAAACAGAAAACAAAACATGCCCCAAATCAGAATATTCCTGAATCAATCGAAGAAGTTGGAACTATCAACATAAAGAGCGGCAAGGGAAAATGACTATGATCAATACAGAAGAAAATCAAGGGAGCAGTAGCAAGAACCAACAACTAGAGATACATGAAAATAATGCTAACAGCTCCAACAATCACCAACAAAGCAAAGAACTGGAGCAAATCAAGGATCTTGAATTCACATGAACTAACATTAGGACCACATAACTTAAAAGTTTAAGTGGCCAGCTTGTGGTAGAATTGGGATCACTGGAGATTATTGAAGAATCAGTAGCACCTGAGAAATATGGGCCAGATATACGAAGTAGCCAACATGAAGAGAAAGACGACTATGCTAGTGCTACAGAAGAACAGGAAGGGAACTCTGACCTAGAAGATGACGAGGCTGCTAATAGCTGTGATAAAGAGGAGATGCTGAACACTGAAGTAATTTATGACCCAGTGTCTAAGGAGATAGCTCAAGTAATAGAACAACAAGGCTATCACCAAGAGGGAACAAAAATAAAAAAGTTAAAGGTACATGTGGGCAACTAAAGCTCACTGATACCAATAAAGAAGAAGGTGCCTTACAAACCTCCAAAATATTTTAATGATTAACATCATTAACTGGAACATAAGGGGGGGTGAAATCCAAAGGAGCGAGCATAAGATTGGCCAAATTGATCAGGATGCACAAAATTGATTTTGTAGTGTTACAGGAAACCTTCTTGGCTGCAAATCAGTTAAAGCATTACAAGAATATTATGGGCTTTGATCATGCTGCTTCCAATATAAATAGCAAAATTTGGTGTCTTTGGAGGAACAATACTGTTTGCAGTATCATCAGTAATAGTATGCAATAGATTACTCTAGAGGCCAATAACAATGGAAATAATTTCTGGATAACAAGGGTCTATGCTAAATCTACTATTGAAAAAAGAAGAAAACTTTGGCGCAAAATCAGGTCTGTCCACCACTACATCAATGGGCCATGGACTATTCTAAGAGACTTCAATGTCATTACGAATGCTGCTGAAAAGAAAGGTGGTACACCTTACACCTTAAATGAGAGCAGAGATTTTCTTTCATGCATGGAGGATTGCGGGATGTGCGACCTAGGCTTCAATGGATATCCTTTCACATGGTGCAATGGCAAGGGTAGAAGAAACAGAATAAGTGAGAGGCTGGATAGAGTCATGATTAATGAAGGCTGGTTAGATCTTTTCCATTCTAACAGGGTTGACCACAGAGGCAAGACTGGATCTGACCATAATCTCATGATTTTCAAAGCCGGTAGTGATAATGTTGAATTCACCAGGTACTTCAGGTTTCTCAACTTTTGGACCTCTCAAAGTGGCTATCTCTCTACAGTTGAGGAAATCTGGAACATTGACGTTCAGGGTAATTATCTTTGGGTATTACAACAGAAACTCAAAGTTGTTTCTAAAGGCCTAAGCAAATGGTCCAAAGATACCATTGGTGATGTTTTTGAAACAGTTAAAAAACTAGAGTGTGATATCTGTCGACTAGAGGAAATCTACGATGCTATGACACTGACAATAACATGCAGACTCTTATGAAGGCACATGTCGAATACACCAGATGGCTGAAGATTCAAGAGTCCATTTTCAAATAGAAAGCAAGAATCAAATGGGCAGAGGAAGGAGATGCCAACACCAAATACTTCTATAGTATAGTGAAAGAGAAAAGAAGGAAGTCTCATATTCATAAAATCAAAGATGCCAATGGAGGATAGATTGAGGGTAATGAGGCTATATCTAATGCTGTTGTAGAGCACTTCTCTAAACTCTTTGAGCACAACCCCAACGACAATGATCTATCTATCTTACAATGTATGGACTCACTTATTACAGGTGAAGACAACAGATACATGTATGAATTGCCAGATGAAGAAGAGATAAGGAATACTGTCTTTTCCATGGATCCTAATAGTGTTGCTAGGCCTAATGGGTTTAATGGGCACTTTTATCAAGCTACTTGGAATATTATTAAAAAGGAGGTGTGCCAATTTGTACAAGCTTACTTCTTTGGGACCAGTCTTACTAAATACTTTACTCACACTAATCTCGTTCTAATCCCAAAAGTGTCCTCACTTTCCACCTTAGACCAACTCAGACCTATTAGTCTGTGCAATGTGTCCAACAAGATTATCTCCAAACTCTTATCAACCAGATTATCCCAACTACTCCCCAAACTCATCTCTGATAACCAAACAGGATTCGTCAAGGGCAGGCTCATTACTGAGAATATCCTTCTGGCCCAAGAGATTGTCCATGATATTGGTAAGAACAACCAGGGAGGCAACATTGTCATTAAACTCGATATGTCTAAAGCCTATGGCAAATTATCTTGGAGCTTTCTAACAACTGTGCTTAGAAAATTGTACTTCTGTGAGGTTGTGATTGATATGATCTATAGGCTTCTTGCTGACAATTGGTATTCTATTCTAATCAATGGTACAAGATATGGGTTTTTCAAATCCTCTAGAGGTTTAAAATAAGGGGACCCCATATCGCCCTCTCTCTTTATTCTGGCCACTGAAGCACTGTCCAGAGCTCTAAATAAGCTCCCTGAGAATAGCCAGTTTATTGGCTTCTCTATGAGCACTAGTGGTCTCAAGATCAATCACTTGAGCTATGCTGATGAACTGGTCCTCTTCTCCTCAAGAGATAGGAACTCTATCAAACTCATCATGGAGGTCCTAAATGACTATCAACATGCTTCAGGGCAGGAAATTAATAGGGATAAAAGTTTTTTTCTCACTCACAATTCAAGAAATAGAAGGGTGAACAGGAGGATCAAAAGGTGGACAGGTTTCAAACAAGTGGAATTTCCCTTCACTTATCTAGGCTGCCCAATCTATATTGGTAGGAAAAAGAACTGCTACTTCTCTGATCTTGCATCTAAGGTCCTTAATAAAGCAAGTGGTTGGCAAGGGAACTTATTGTCATTTGGGGGTAGGGCTATCATAATCAAACACATTCTGCAGTCCTAAATGCTCTACCTACTTGCTGCTATGGTACCACCAAAAGCTATTATTGGCCAAATTGAAATGTACCTCTCTAACTTCTTCTGGGGAGAAAAGGAAGGCAAAAAGAGCTATCATTGGAGCTCCTGGGAGAACTTAAGCTACCCCCACAATGAAGGGGGAGTTGGTTTCAAGAAGCTTCAAGACATTTGCAACTCATTTGCTGCTAAGAGATGGTAGAGGTTTAGGGTGGAAAACAATTTATGGACCAGGTTCCTCAATGCAAAGTATTGCCCTAGATCTAATCCTCTATCCAAAATTCCTGTGCCTAAGGACTCCAATTCCTGGAGGAACTTAATGAGTACTAGAGATATAATCGATTCTCACATCTTTTGAAATATTCATGAAGGCAACAGCTTGTTTTGGTGGGACAAATGGACCCTCATGGGTCCTATCAACATACACAACAACCACAGTGAGAAACCCGACAATACAAGGGTCTGTGAATTTATCGACAACCAGAGCTGGGATATGGAGAAATTACAAAACATTGTCAACCAATTTATCTTAAGCGAAACTTCCCAGGTGGATATAGGCCAACAACAATGCAAAGACAAGGCTATTTGGATGCCTAATGTTCAAGGAAACTTAACATGTGCTTTTGCCTTTCATCTCCTGTGACAAAAAAGAGAACCCATGCCTATGATGTCCAAGGTATGGATAAAGGAACTACCTTTCAAGATCTCATTTAATATCTGGAGAATTATTTACAAAAAGCTTCCTTTTGCTGACACACGTCAGAGATTTGGTGTTACTGTTTTATCTACTTGTGTCTATTGTAGAGCCCCTAAAATTGAATCTCTAAACCATGTCTTTACCATCAGTGATATGGCTTCTAGTGTTTGGAATTATATCTCTTCTCTCCTTGGCTTCAAGACTAGAGGCAGAAATATCCTCTCTATCCTTAATTATTGGTGGTCCATTCCCACCAAGAATCATACTCACAAATTCCTCCTACAGATCACCCCTATGATTGTCTTGTAGGAATTATGGAAGGCTAGATGTGACAAGAAGTATGGTACCAAATCAATCTCTACCTATAATATTTGCCAACAAGTTCTTTTACAGGTTAAGATATCCATGGGGCTTAAATTCAGTAAGATGGGTTGGGATTGGAATTGGTGGAAGGTATGCCAGACTGTTAAATCCTACAAACCTACCCTCAAAAGCACCATGGTTGTATGGTCTAAACCGGAAGGCAACTTCTGGAAGCTTAACATCGATGGGATCTATATTGCTAATCAAGGCAAGGCTGGAGCTGGGGCATTGTTAGGAATAGAAATGGACATATGGTGATGGCCTTTGCTTCACCAGTCCAATTCTTGACTAACAACTATTCAGAGGTCCAAGCAGCCTTACAAGGAATATAGTGGTGTTGTGCTCAAAATTCCTTCAACTTTACCTTGGAGCTAGATTCGCTACTGGTTGTAAACATGGTCCTTGATCAATGCAAAATTCCACGGAAACTTCACAAAGACATCACCCTTATCCAAGAGATAGTAAGGCATCACAATATCAAGGTAATGCATTGTTATAGAGAAGGGAATGAAGTTGCTGATCTTCTTTCCAAACATGCTAATTCTCTGACTCACAGCGTTATTTATACTAATGAGAATGACCTCCCTCCTGAAATAAGAGGTGCTGTTAGAGTTGATAGAATGCAAGTCCCAGCCTTCAGGTTAAAGGCAAAGAAACACTCAGGATGGTACTTTGAACCTCCATAATCTATTGAGAAGGGATACTTTTGATTATCTTTACTAACAATGCAGCCCCTTTTGTAAGGTGTTATGTGCACCAGGTCCTAGACCATCAATAAGCTCTTTTAATATTTGTATTCTAGAGGTTAGATATTACGTCCCCCTCTATTGTACTTATTTTTACAATCTATATACGAGGTAGGGGATAATGCCAAACCCCCCATCACCTCGGGATAGCATAGCCCGAGTGAATGGTTTATTTTAAAAAAAAGTGTTATTTCCTGTACAAAGTAAAAATGATGTGATAAATCAAAAGGAATATGCTAGCTTAATTGGAAGCTTGAGAATATGTGACTGATTAAACTAGATTGATTTGAGATTGCATACGCTATATGAAAACTTAGCAGGTTTACAAGCAAGGCAGGTAATGAATATTGGCATGACATAACAAGAGTTATAAGGTATTTACTTAGTACAAAAACCTATGGCTTATCTTAAAAAAATATCCTGATATACTTGAAGGCTTTTCTGATGCAGATTCGAACATTTTATTTTTGAAAGGTGGTGCTATTTGTTGGAAATTAAAAAAATTCTAACTCTACCATGGAGGCTGAACTAATTCCTTTAGCTTCAGCTAGTGAGGAAGTGAATTGGTTGAGAGATTTATTATTTCAAATTCCTTATTTTGAAAAACCAATTCTTCCTATTTTAATTCATTATGATAGCACCGCTGCTATTGGTAGATTACAAAACCGTTATTATAACGGTAAATTCAGACCTATAATGAGAAAACACAATATTGTATGATATTTGAAAAGTGGTAAAATTAATGTTGATTATGTGATAATTTTGTTGATCCACTAACTGAAGTTGTGGAAAGAGAAATGGTCTGGAGCACATCAAGGGGATGAGATTGAATCTCATAAACTCATAAGTCATATATGAGGAAACCCAACTGGGGACTAGAGATCTTATGTCTAGGCTCAATGGGAAGAACAAATTATATGATGGATTGGTTTAAAATGCACTATTTTGTTCCATCCCTATGGTATGAGTGCACTTATCCTGTAACGATTTGCGAGGTTGAGTTTTTTATTAACTCTTAATGAAAATTTGTAGCTCGTATGAGTGGGGTCTTAGAGTTATAGGAGCACACTTGACAGATTTAACCTATGTGAATGTGAAAGTAGGCCGCTTCCTATGAGAATTGGGCTTGTTCTCTGTCACGACCCGGATTTCCCACCCTCGAGAGTCGTGATGGCGCCTACTCATGAAAGCTAGGCAAGCCGAGTATCATAGATTCAATACCCTTTTTCCTTAACCTTTTAACATTTACAAATTAACATGTGATCAACAACAGAATAATTATAATAAACAGACATGCAGAAGACGAAAACTAATAGTTTAACCAAATAATAGTACATAACAACTCTATTCAGAGTTGGTGTCATAATGTCACGGACCATTTACAAATACTACAAACAGCGGTCTAAATGAAAATATAAATCTGTCTCTAAAATACATAAAAACAGAATGGAAAGATAGAAGGGGACACCAAGGTTGCGGACATCTGCAGGACTACCTCAGGTCTCCGCCGCTGGACTGAAGGCAGCAACCTCAGTGTGGTCCAAAAGCTCCAGCACCGGGATCTGCACACAGTGCAGAGTGTAGTATCAGTACAACCGACCCCATGTGCTGGTAAGTGTCGAGCCTAACCTCGGCGAAGTATTGACGAGGCTAGGAAAACACTACCAAATAAACATGTGCAATTATATCATATACAACAAATAATAACGACAGAAACTAGCAGTTAAAGATGGGAGGGGGAAAACATGCTCAGGGGAAATATCATGTACAAACAGAAATTCAGTAAAGAAGCATACGGAACACCAAAATTCAACTATAAGCAAGAATAAGGAGAACAATAATAAGTGCACGGCATCACCCTTCGTGTTTTATTCTCGTTCTCACCATAAGAATCAATATATTTGGCACGGCATCACCCTTCGTGCTTTTACCTCACATAACCATGGCACGGTATTACCCTTCGTGCATTATCACTCATATCATGGCACAACATCACCCTTCATGCTTTTACATTTACAATATCGGCACGGCATCACCCTTCGTGCATTAACACTCACTCACAAATATCACGCACGGCATCACCCTTCATGATTTTACACTCTTCCTTACCCAAGCAACAATCACAAAGCAATTCGGGCAAAAGAATCAATAAAATCACAATAGAATCCCGACAAAGAAACAATAGTATTACAATACTATCCCGGCAAGGGAAACAATATCATAAGCAATAACATCCCGGCAAGGGAAACAATATCATAAGCAATAACATCCCGGCAAGGGAAACAATATCATAAGCAATAATATCTCGTCAAGGGAAACAATATCATAAACCTCTTCTCTTTTCTACAATTACTTCACAACTCAATTCTCAACTTAAGCCAATGCTCTAAAATGTTTAATTACCAAGAATACTTTCATGAGCCTTGTTCAACATTAGAAATCATCATATTAAGCATGGTCAAGACATAACAGAGTCACAACAATCATAGTATAAGACTCACGGGCATGCTTGACACCGACGTATAGATACTCGTCACCACACCTATACGTCGTACTCAACAATTAACACATAGCAAATAAGACCACAACTCTTATTCCCTCAAGCTAAGGTTAGACCAAACACTTACCTCAATGCCACGAACACAATCAAGCCTCAACTACTGCTTTACCTCTTGATTCCACCACCAACTCACTTGTATCTAGTCACAATTTACTTAATAACATTAATTCTTCGCAAATGCGAAGGTTTCCCTGCCCAGCCCATCTTCGTAATTGCGATAATTCTTCGCAATTGCGAGCCATTGCGAAGCCTGCAGACCTGCAACACAGCAGCAGTTTTCCTAAGTCCAATTTCACTCCATGGCCTAAAACTCACCCAAGCCCTCGGGGGCTCCAAACCAAACATGCACGCAAGTCCAAAAATATCATACGGACTTGCTCGTTCGATCAAATCATCAAAATAACACCAACAACTATGAATTAAACCTCAAATTTATGAAATCACTCAAGGATATTGAAATTATTATTTTCTCAACTATAGGTCCGCTTTATACCAAATCAATTCCGATCTTTACCAAATTTCACAACTTAATTATTATTTTAAACTTGTACCGAGCTCCGGAACCAAGATACGGGCCCGATACCATCAATAAATTACATAAATTTTCTTCTAAAAGCCTTTAT